CACACACACGCATAAAAATGTACTGAAATTTTAAAATATATTATAAAATTTCTATTTAATTTATTGTAGACTATAATATATAACATATATTAAATATATGATCCAGAACCTCTCAAATTGTATCTGCTCTGATTTTATGGCCAATATCAGAAAGAATTCCAAACTCAGTTATATGCCTTACAAGTATCAGTATTCAACTAAGGGCACACAATACATTAAATTGTGTGTATGTGCACGTGTGTGTGTGTGTGTGTGTGTGTGTTTAGCAATAATAATTTTAAAAAGAAGAGTTTGCATGGAACCCAGTGACAGAGAGAGAGGAGCAATAAGCAAATTGGCAAAGAATGTGCTGGCAAAACCAGCAGAAACAGCTGATCTGAACAGGGGAGAGCTCTTGGACCCCAGACCGACAACTGGGAGGCCAGCATGGGACTGAACCCAACCCCCTGAGTGTGAGAGTCAGTGAGGAGGCCTGGGCAACCTATGGGGCCCTGGGCAGTAGATCAGTGTTTATCCCTGGCATACAAAAGGACTTCGTGTCCATAACACAAAGAAGGATGCTCTCTCAGCCTGGACTCTTAGGGGGAATGCCTGGACTCTGCCCTGAGTGAAATGGCAGACTCTAGATATCTCCTATGTGGAAGGAAGTGGCCATAGTGTGGGAGGCTGGGGGGGGGATGGGGGTGTGTGGGAGGAGGGGAGGGAGAGGGAACTGGGATTGACATGTGAAGCAAGCTATTTAAAATTAAAATAATAAAATAAAAAAGAAGAGTTTGTGGAGGTCATGAGTTTGAAAGGGAGTTGTAAGGGGATGAACACAGGAAGAGTTAGAAGGTGAGAGATAAGGGTAGAAATGATGTAAATATAATACTCTAGCATGAAATACTAAGGAAAACAAACAAACATCTTATGGACTGCAGAATTATGCAATGAGAATTCAGTGCATACTTCAGGGGTCAGTCCATCAGAGATTGTTTATCTCTTGAAGGACATACCTCATTTAGCAAGGTGATGAGGAATATTGTCACCAGAAATGCACATCTCATTAACCTTATCTGCAAAATGATAAGAATACTGCCTTCTGAATGTGCTATCTGTCCTAACTGCAGATGTCTTGTGTGAAGAGCTCTTTCCCTCACATTACAATCTGGGGATTTTTCCCACAGCCCAACAGTTTGTTAATTGTTTACCAGTACGGTTTCCCCTGTTCATTGGTACATTGGATGACTCCTCCCATATACTATAAAATCATTTATAATTACATCAACAAGGTGTTTAAAGTAGTTCTCAATTTGTCATAAATATAGATTAGTTGATTATTAATCATATAGATTATTGATTATACATATATTAATACAAATACTGATTAAATATCAATATAAATTATTGATTATTAATTTTGAAATCATGATCATTCTTCAAGTCATCTTCAGACTTTTAATTACCCATATTACATACCTTTTAAGCAAAAAGGGGCAGGTTTCAAAGGTCATGAGAGATAGAGCACGTGTTAACTAGTCTTTAACAGGGCGACCCACCAGAAGCCATGGGGTTACTGGCTGTGGAAACCATTTGCTCCTGTCCTGCTGCTCTCATGAGTCACCTAATTCTTCCCTAATTACTTTCTTCCCTAAGAAACTCTTTTCTTCCCTGCTATTTCCTACTGCTTGTGTGTTTATCTCATGAAAACATTTCATCTTCTGGGTACATATACCTGGCTGGGCTAGAAGATGACTTTTCATTTAGCTATATAACAAGAACTGTGGACTCTTAACAGTCTGCCTTGTTCTGTTGCTCAGACTAACTGCACACAATTAGCTCATTTTCACCTCAGAGCAAGTTCAAACTGCACTAAAATCCTTTTAAAAATAGATAATAAGTTTGAAACCTTACAGCTATGTACAAGGTCAGAGTCACAGATGTCCAACCAAGATTACTAAGAAAAGCATGCCAATTTTTCACTTGTCACTCTACTGAAAATAGGTCTGTATTAAACTTGTCATTGAGCACTGTGCCCTCCCTGTCTGGTCACAGTTTTGCTCCCATGGCCTTTGACCATTGTGTTGTCATGGTAAACAGCTCAACCCCTTATTGCTTGCTCTAGGAATGTGCTTTTGACCAATGAGAGAAATTTCTTTATCACTTCAAGGCTCCTGAAGGAGAAGAGTTTTGGGGATAGAAAAAGAAGCTAGAAGAAGCTTGGAGAAATTAGAAGTAGGGCAGGGTTTTTAGAGTAGAAACAGAACAATAAAGAGCACATGAAATAAAGAGCATGACCCTCAGATTATGTGTGAGGTTACTATAAAAATCTTGTATGCCCTCATTCACTCCTGAGAAGCATTTCACCTTTCGACCCCTGGATAGGGGCTGGAGCTGGTCTCTTAGCCCATAAACAAACAAACAACAACAAACCTTGAGCCAAAATTAAGTTTTCTTTTTGGAAGTTGCTTTTCCCTGGCATTTTTGCACATCAGTGGAAATGTAATATAGAGTCCTATTATTTTATTTTTCCAACTGTATTAGTAATGTCTTTCCTAGTGACACAATTGCTATCATAAATAACTGGAGAAAAGAAATGTATATTTGACTTACAGTTCAAAACTACAATCCATCATGATGGGGATCATATAGTGACAGGACCATGAAGTAACTGTCATACTATAAGGAAGCAGAGTAAGTCAATTGTTTCTCCTTTTCATTCAGTTCAAGAACCCAACTCATGAAATGTCTCTACCAACTCTTAGAATGGATTCTCCCACCTCAATTAATTTAATAATAGAAATCCCCCTCCATAATATTTTTAATGGTAAGTCTAAATCCTGGCCTCAGTGTGTCTCTGAAACTATGACACAAAGCTAAATGACCCTCTCAGTCTTGCATGGTTCATGCCTACAAAACCAGTACCACACGGACCATGCGGCCAAATTTGGTTATTGCAAATACATGGAGGTTGGCCCACATGGAACACAGTTGCATCAGTCTCTGTGTTCTGACTATGAAGAAACATCTCCCTAGGATGTTGCTTTTGAGCAGGAAACCCCTTCATTTGCATTCACAGTTTAGGTTCTCTCCTTTCAAATGAGTTTGTATTTTTACAAGATGGAGCCTTCAGTGGGTGGGATCTTGCCTTTGGGGGGCTTTTCCTGTTGTCCAAGTGGGAAGTTCCTGGTTTTCCTTTGATGATCCTAATCTTGAACCATTTGAGCTGTTTTCTAGCCTGCCTTGTCTGTAACTGTGTTTTGTTTATTTATTTTTAACATAATCTTTATTCATTCTTTGGAAATTTTACATCATACACCCAAATCCCACAGTAGCCTATTCCCCACCACCTTCACCTCTTCAGATCTAACTCTACACAGCACATGAACTATATAAATGGGAGACCATTTCCCCACCGTATATTCACTCAACATAATGGCACCTGACCACCTGGGCCTAGTGACGCCAAGCAGGCCCATGGCTGCCTTCTACCCCTGCAGGTCAAGTGGCACCAGGTGGGTATGTGGGTGTCCTCACCTGATCAGGACTTGTCTGTAATTTAAACTCACTCACACTCTGCACACTTTTAGTAGCTTTTGGCTTTATATTGTGTTCTCCCACTGCAGAACCGGAGAATAGTAAGCAGTAGCCATGCCACAGTCAGAATGGAATCCCAATTTGAAATTTCCACTATTAAACAAATTAGTTCATCACTTTTCAATTCAGCTATAATAAAGTTCTCAAGGCATAGGAAATGCGGCCATGTTCTTTCCTGAAGTCTAACACTAATTGTCTCTAGCCCAGTTCGCAGGGGAGTACTTTCTCCCCCTCTGTAACATGAGAGAAGCTATCAATGTTTATGTTTCTCTTGAAATTCTTGTCTTCTAAGCTCCCTTCAGAATAGCCAATAATGCTCTGTGTACAGCAATATGGAATTTTTCTAGCCTCAAATACCAATACCTCCTACGGTCCTTCTGCAAACTAATTCCAAAGGTTTATGAATCACATGGTCAAGTTTATTCAACTGCAAACCTACTTCAGTGCCCAATGTTCTATGTTAGTAGCTTTTCTCACAAGTAATTTGAGGAAGGAAAGGTATATTTTGTCTTGTAAAAAATGTGGTCCATCAGGGCAACTAATATTTGGTGGCAAAAGTATATGAAGAAGCTGGTAATACTATATATGCAAATAGGGAGCTGGAAGAGGTAAATACCAGTGCTCAGTACCATTTCTCCTTTTTATTCAGTCTGAGACCTGATCTTACAGAATGGTGCCCTCCATGTAGAGGGTATGTCGTTTCACTTCAACGAGCCTAATGTAGAAACATCCTCATAAACGTGTACAAAGGTTTTTTTTTCCATGGTGGTTCTAAGCCTCACCAAGTTGAGACTGTTAATCATCATACCAGACATATGTGGCATAAAGGGTAAATAGTATGACCCAGAACTTAACAGTAGAGACGAGAAGTCTTCAAAGTGAGAAGAAAAAGCAAAGCCTCCAAAAACAATGGGGTTCTTTCAATCTTTCCTTTTTGCTCAGATTCTGGACTCAACCACTTGTGACTATGAGAATATACCATCAGATGATTAGAGAATGATGGAAATAAATGCAAACAGACCAATCTAATGACAACTTTGTTGAGACTCTGAAAGTACTCTGAAAAATCAAATGCACCATGCCGTTCCTTCCTTATTTCTACATGAGGGATAACAAGTTATTTATTACTTTTATATAGATGGAATTATCTCACAACAATAAAACGGTGTCTGAACAGGTGCTAAGTAAGCCTTCACTCAGAAGATCACAGAGGCCCTACTTCCTGGTGAAGGATCAAGCAAGAGGGCTCTACTATAGGACTGGCAACTGAAGGAACAGGTGTTATCCTTATCAGGTGACCAAGAAGGGAGTGGAGTGAGCAAGCAGGCAGAATGACTCCCCTTGGCAGGGAACCATAGCTAAGGCAGCTGTTGCTTATCAAGGACACACTAAAGACGATGTGTCACCACACTAACAAGATACTGAAAGTATTTTGATGTGTCTGTGCACTTATATATATTAAGGGTGTCCAGGTCTACAATCCCACAGGAGGAAAGCATCCTTCCCAACCAACACCTTTCCTGAGCTTTCTGGTGAGTGAAACTGCTCTTTTGGGAACCTTCTCTGATACTCCAAAAAGCAAGAAGAAGTGCAGTATGGATAACAGTGTACTTACCTACTTACTCCCTTGACATTAGACATTGTCTTCTCTCTTCCTTCATGGTCCTGCAAGAGCTCAGAAATTCCCCTTCTTTCCCATTTTCTTCTAGCCCCAGGAGGCTGACTTTCTACAAGCATGAAGCCTACAATATGTTTCCTCCTCATCTTCATCTCCCTTCTCCATCTGATGACCTCAGTGAACACTCAGTCCTCCAAAGACTCATCAGGGAATATAAAGATCCGGAAAGCTCTCAGTGGTAAAGGTCACCACTGGGGTAAGGAAAATCTGAGTCTAATCCTTACTTAAGCCACCTAAAACTTTACTTAATCTGTCTCCCATCCTGAGAACCCTACCTCTGATTAGTCTACTGACGCCCTACTTTCCTGTTCAGGGATTCCTTTTTTTATCCTACTCCCATTTGAGCTCTTGGTAAAAATGATGATGAAGAATAAAGAGGGTGGTAGGTGAATTGTATGAACACATTATGAATCAAGTATAATTCAAAGATTTTGGTTAGTTATTTTATTTTTTATGAGCCAAGAATAACTATTACTTTCACTTCATAAGCTAAGAAATTAACTTGGGGGTCTGGAGAGATGACTAGGCAGTTTAGAGGATCCAGCTTGATTTCCTAGCACCCACATGGTGGCTCACACACATTTGTAGCTCCTGCCCCAGAAGTTTTGGCTAAGACATGCATTTGATGCACAGACATACATGTAGGCAAAACACTCATGAAAGAAAAATGTTTTTTTAAAAAATGAATTAAACCTTAAAAGTTAGTGAGCAGGTGATTATAGAACAAAGGCATCTCTGAGACACAAGAGGACTTTGAAGGAGGTTGTGGGAAACAGAGAACATGGGCAATACCTCTTGTCACATACTACTCAGAGTATCCTCTCTTGACAGGGCCTAAGAAACTCTCCTGCCTTAGTGTCCAAAAATCAGGCAGATGGGCTTCCTGTCCTGAGGGTAAGTAACTTCACAAGAAGAATTTGTGAGCAAGATGTCTTATATTCTTCTCCATTAAGCATCTAATAGTGAATTATTTACCTAGATCAAGTTTTTACTACCATAGAGGCTAGCCCTAATCCTGGGTGCCCAGTCACCACTTACTGATTTTCAGTTCCTTTAAAGTTGCTACTGAAAGAACTTTGGTTTCTGGTCTCCTTTCATGTCTTTTTGTTGTTCTCTTGGATGCCAGCCTTTTGTGTCATCAATTATCTGGCCATGGATATGGTCCTCATTTCTTTCCCAGTCTATTCCCTTGCATTGCTTGGCAGGGAGACAACACAGAGGTGAATTTGTCATCAATTGAATGACACTGAAACTCCAAGTCCTTTAGGTTAAGTGATTTTTGTTTTAGAAGTTTAAGTAACTTTTTTCTTGAAGATAATTCCCCAAATTGAATAGTTTTAGTTAAGCCTAGATTTACCCATGAGCTTCCTTGGGAAAACAGTTGGGGACTCACCATCTCTTACAGTACAAGAGCTCTGATGTATGTGTCTCACATGACTATTCAGGGATGGCTGTCACTGGTTGTGCTTGTGGCTATGGTTGTGGATCATGGGATGTCCAGAATGGAAATACTTGCCACTGCCAATGCTCGGTCATGGACTGGACCACCGCCCGCTGCTGCCAACTGGCCTGAGAATGAGGAGACTGACAATCCAGTTTTTAAATTATGACCATATTGAAACCATGGTCTCAACCAGGAAACCTGACTCACTGTCTTCATAATGAATACATATTACCCTATAATTCTTCCTGGGCAATAAAGACAGAGATGTACCTGTGCATGTTTATGTTTAATGTTATTACTTTTAGCTTCGTGTCTGTTTCCAGAAAATATTTTCAGTATTTCAGTGATTATATCTCAATACAGCTTGTGAATTCCAAGCAATGTGCAGAAAGACTTTGCAAGGTACAGGCAGAAGGGGAAATTTAAAACAATTTCTAACTTCTCACAGACTGAAAGGGAAATTTAAAAGAGTTTCTAACTTCTCAGTATGTATGTGTTTAAGTTTCAATTTACATGCCCAAGATGACTTTCATCAAGGTAACCTCTTTCCCATTCCCTGTCTTCTAGATGGCTATAGGACACCATGGCCCTCACCTATCATAGAGTGTTAATACAATGCATCTCCCTTTTTATAAAATGTACAGAATTCCAAACTAAGGAGAAATTTTAAATATTGCTACTGATATTAAGTAAATGAATGACTCAGTGGCTTGGTAGCAAGTGTGTTATAAGTTGAGAGACTGCCAACTTTGGAGCTTCATTTTTTTATAATTTCTTTTTATTTAGAAACAATCTTGTTTTACATATCAATCCCCCCATGCCCTCTCCCTCTCATCCTCCCATGCCCCTCACAGTTCCTCCCAACCCACCCCTACCCACTCCTCAAGAATAGAGAAGCTTTCCATGGGGGATCATCAAAGTCTGTCACATCATTTGGAGGAGGGCCTAGGCCCTCCTCCGTGTATCTGGGCTGAAATAGTATCCCAATGGGCTCCCAAAGTCCAAGGACTACCAGTCTACAATCCACACCTGAAGAGAAACTAGGAAACAAGGAGGACCATAAGAGAGAAATACATGGTCCCCCGAAGAAGGGGAAAGGAACAAGAACTCCTGAGCAAATTGGGAACGTGGGGGGAGGGAGGAGGAAGGTAGGAAAAACAGACCTTCATGGTTTTAAATAGGAAATAAATCAGTTTTCAACTCTTAGACCATCAAAACTAATTTTTTAAAAAATTGGTATGATTATTGGAAACTTAATAGGAATTTAAGGATATTAACTATCACTATAGTTAAAAAAACTTCTTTTCCTACCTATTTAGTGAATAGATTTCTCAAAGCTAACAACCATGAATTAAATATAGAAATGAAATTGAAACATAGTTATTTATCTGTAGATATATAGGCTATTTACAGAAAAATTGTCATATTTCTCATTTTAAAAAAAAGCACATTTCTAGAGGATGGAGAGATTGCTTGGTGAGTAAGAGTACACGTTCTTGTAGAGGATTCTGATTTAGTTCCCAGCACCCACATGTAACTCCAGTTCCAAGGGATTTGATCCCTCTTCTGATCTCCATGAGCACCAGGCACACACATGGTGAACATACATTCATGCAGACAAAACACTCAGGCACAGTAAGTAGAACACCTTTTTTTTAATATATATATATATATATATATTTTATTTTCCAGTTTAAATTTAGATAAGAAACGAGGTTGCTTCACAAGTCAGTTCCAGGTCCCTCTCCCATTCCCTCCCCTCCTCCCGTGCCCTCCCCCCAACCCCCCCTGTTATCCCCTCATTTCCCCAGGGAGGGTGAGGCCCTCCATGGGGGTGTCCATAGTCTGTCATTTCATATAGGGCAGGGCCTAGACCCTTCCCCGAGAGTTCAGGGTGAGAGTGTACCTCACATTGTTCTATGGGAGTCCAAAGTCCGTGTGTATACTTGGGATGGGTACTGATCTGCTGCCCAAGGCTCAATAGATTACCTAGGCCTCCTCACTGACACCCAGATTCAGGGGGTCTTGATCAGTCCCATGCTGGATTCCCAGGCTGATCCCTGGGATTCAAGAGTTAACCTTTGTCTGGTCAGCTGTTTCTGGGGGTTAAACCAGCCCAGTCTTAATCCCGTTGATCATCAGTCCTCCCTCTCTGTTACTGGCTTTCTTGAGTTCAGCTCAGTACTTAACCGAGGGAGTCTGCCTCTTCTTCGATCAGCCACTAAATGAAGTTTCTGTTTCCCAGACCCTCTGGCCATAGGGTTGTAGGCTGGCATTCCCCAGATCTATGTCTAAAATCCATATATGAGAGAGTACATGCCATGTTTCTCTTTTTGTGACTGGGTTACCTTACTCAGGATGGTTTCTTCTAGTGTCATCCATTTGCCTGCAAATTTCATGATTCCATTGTCTTTTTCTGCTGAATAGTACTCCATTGTGTAAATGTACCACATTTTCTCTATCCACTCTTCGGTTGAGGGACATCTAGGTTGCTTCCAAGTTCTGGCTATTACAAATAAAGCTGCTATGAACATAGTGGAACAGACATCTTTGTTGTATGAATGGGCATCTTTTGGATATATGCCTAAGAGTGGAGTTGCTGGGTCTTGTGGTAGATTTATTCCCATTTTTCTGAGGAATCTCCATACTGCTTTCCAAAGTGGCTGAACCAGTTGGCACTCCCACAAGCAATGGAGGAGTGTCCCCCTTTCACCACATCCTCTCCAGCATAAATTGTCATTGGTGGTTTTGATTTTAGCCATTCTGACAGGAGTGAGATAGTATCTCAGAGTTGTTTTGATTTGCATTTCCCGGATGGCTAAGGATGTTGAGCACTTTCTCAAGTGCCTCTCAGCCATTTTAGACTCCTCTATTGAAGACTCTCTATTTAGTTCTGCAGCCCACTTTTTAATAGGGTCCTTTGGTGTTTTGGAGACTTGCTTCTTGAGTTCCTTGTAAATTTTGGAGATCAACCCTCTGTCAGATGTGGGATTAGTGAATATTTTTTCCCATTCTGTGGGCTGCTCTTTTGTCTTGCTGACTGTGTCCTTTGCCTTACAGAAGCTTCTCAGTTTCAGGAGGTCCCATTTATTAATTGTTGATCTCAGTGTCTGTGCTACTGGTGTTATGTTCAGGAAGCTGTCTCCTGTACCAATTCGTTCAAGGGTACCACCCACTTTCTCTTCTAAGAGGTTCAGTGTGGCTGGATTTATGTTGAGGTCTTTGATCCATTTGGACTTAAGTTTTGTGCATGGCGATAAACATGGATCGATCCGCATTCTTCTACATGCCAGTCTCCAATTATGCCAGCACCATTTGTTGAAGATGCTTTCTTTATTCCATTGCATATTTTTAGCTTCTTTGTCAAAGATCAGATGTTCGTACATGTGTGGGTTAATACCCGGGTTTTCAATTTGATTCCATTGGTCTACCTGTCTATTTTTGTGCCAATACCAAGCTGTTTTCAGGACTATAGCTCTGTAATAGAGCTTGAGGTCAGGGATGGTGATGCCTCTAGACGTTGCCTTGTTGAGCAGGGTTGTTTTGGCTATCCTGGGTCTTTTGATTTTCCATACAAAATTGATTATTGTTCTTTCAAGGTCTGTGAAGAATTGTGCTGGGATTTTATTGGGGATTGCATTGAATCTGTAGATTGCTTTTGGCAGGATTGCCATTTTTACTACATTGATCCTACCTATCCAAGAGCATGGGAGATCTTTCCATTTTCTGAGGGCTTCTTTAATTTCTTTCTTTAAAGATTCAAAGTTCTTACAATACAGGTCTTTCACTTGTTTGGTTATCGTTACCCCAAGGTATTTTATGTTGTTTGTGGCAATTGTAAAGGGTGATGTTTCTCTGATTTCTCTTTCAGCCCTTTTATCATCTGTATATAGTAGGGCTACTGATTTTCTTGAGTTGATCTTGTAGCCTGCCATTTTGCTGGAGGTGTTAATCAGCTGTAAGAGTTCCCTGGTAGAGTTCTTTGGGTCATTGATGTAAACAATCTGCAAACAGTGAAAGTTTGACCTCTTCCTTCCCAATTTGTATCCCCTTGATCCCCCTTTGTTGTCGTATGGCAATAGCTAGAACTTCAAGTACCATGTTGAAAAGGTATGGGGAGAGTGGACAGCCTTGTTTTGTTCCTGATTTTAGAGGAATTGCGTTGAGTTTCTGTCCATTTAGTTTGATGTTGGCTGTTGGTTTACTGTATATAGCTTTTATTATGTTTAAGTATGTCCCTGTTATCCCAGATCTCTCCAAGACCTTTATCATGAAGGTGTGTTGGATTTTGTCAAAGGCTTTTTCAGCGTCTAGTGAGATGATCATGTGATTTTTGTTTTTCAGCTTGTTTATATGGTGGATTACGTTGATGGATTTTCGTATGTTGAACCATCCCTGCATCCCTGGGATGAAACCTACTTGATCGTGGTGAATGATTGTTTTGATGTGTTCGTGGATCCGATTTGCCAGTATTTTATTGAGTATTTTTGCATCAATGTTCATGAGGGATATTGGTCTGAAGTTCTCTTTCTTAGTTGTATCTTTGTGTGGCTTGGGGATCAAGGTTATTGAAGCCTCATAGAAAGAGTTTGGCAAAGACCCTTCTGCTTCTATTGTGTGGAACACTTTGAGAAGAATTGGTATAAGCTGTTCTTTGAATTTCTGGTATAATTCTGCACTGAGGCCATCTGGACCTGGACTTTTTTTGGTTGGGAGACTTTTGATGACAGCTTCTATTTCCATAGGGGTTGTAGGTCTATTTAAATTGCTTATCTGTTCTTGATTTAGTTTTGGCAAATGATAGCTGTCCAGGAAGTCATCCATTTCCTTTAAATTTTAGAATTTTGTGGAGTACAAGTTTTCAAAGTATGACCTAATGATTCTCAGGATTTCCTCAGAGTCTGTTGTTATGTCCCCCTTTTCATTTCTAATTTTGTTAATTTGCGTGTTCACTCTCTGCTGTTTGGCAAGTTTGGACAAAGGTTTGTCTATCTTGTTGATTTTCTCAAAGAACCAACTCTTCGTTGTATTGATTCTTTGTATTGTTTTCCTGGTATCTACTTTACTGATTTCAGCCCTCAATTTGATTATTTCCTGGCGTCTACTCCTCCTGGGGGAGTTTGCTTCTTTGTGTTCTAGAGCTTTCAGCTGTGATGGTAATTCTCTGGTATAACTGTTCTCCTGTTTCTTCATGTGAGCACTTAGTGCTATGAACTTCCCCCGTAGCACTGCTTTCAAAGTGTCCCATAGGTTTGTGTCTTCATTCTCATTGAATTC